GACCATACAGTGATCTGAGAGTCCAAGGGCTAGACTGCATTAATTTAACTTTGTGTACCTAATAAACTGCCAGCTGAATAACTAATGTGTATACCTGTTAACATTATCGACACCATATCATTTACCTAGCATGTTAGCAAGTTTCACTTTGGCAAATAACTAAAGTAAACATGTTACCCTGAACAACTATATTACATTACAAAGATGAGCAGCCTAACAAAAGCCTATCTGTATGAGTGTTCAAACACCTTTATGATGCTGAATGTGAGTGCTAGGTTGTCTTTATCTTTCTCCCATGTTTTTAGGAACCAGTGCTTCTGTTAATCATTCATTCATCTTCTACCGTTTGTTCCCTGAGCGGGGTCACGGAGGGGCCGGAGCCAATCCCGGCTGGCAATCGGGCGAAGGCGGGGGACACCCTGGGCTGGACAGGTCGCCAATCCATCGCAGGGCTAACACATAGACAAACAACCACACACACGCACATGCTGTGATATTTCAGTTTTTCTTTTTTAATAAATCTGCTAAAATGTCAAAAATTCTGTTTTTCTGTCAATATGGGGTGCTGTGTGTACATTAATGAGGAAAAAAATGAACTTAAATGATTTTAGCATATGGCTGCAATATAACAAAGAGTGAAAAATTTAAGGGGGTCTGAATACTTTCCGTACCCACTGTATATATGGCCAGGTAGGCTATATATGAGGTCTAATCTCCTTGCCTATCAGGAGGCTGTGAGAGTCTCTAAAACTCATGTTTTGTCTAATGCCATAGCATCAAACAGTCAGAACCCGAGAGTCCTTTTCAGAACTATACACTCTGTTATTGACCCAGTTGGTGCTTTGCCCATGGTTGGTTCCACTGCCCTTTGCAACCAATTTTTAAGTTATTTTCTTGTCAAGGTTGGGGCTCTCAGGCCAAAATATGCCTAAATTCTTAGTGCACACACAGCCTGGTCCCCCTGCAGTTCTTACTTTTAATTCTTTTACTCCGATTTCTTTACTCCAATTAAAAGACACTTTAGCTCAGTTAAAACTGACCTCTTCGCCCCTCGACCCGCTTCCTGCCAGGTTTATTAAGGAGGGTTTTGATGTTCTCAGTCCCATTTTGGTCTTGTTTATTAATCTTTCCTTGGATTCGGGTGTGGTCCCATCTGCTCCTAAGCGTGTGATGGTTCGCCCACTCCTTAAAAAAACCTAACCTTGATTCCTCATTACTGTCGTCTTTCCGTCCAATTTCAATTCTTCCTTTTTTGTCCAAAATTCTGGAAAAAATCATAGTCACCCAGCTGCAGTTACACTTAGACTGTTTAAATATCGCCGATAAATTTCAATCTGGCTTTAAGCCCCGCCATAGCACTGAATCCGCGTTGCTTAAGATTCATAATGACATTACGGTGGCTCTTGATAACAAATGCCCTGTTCTGTTAGTTCTTCTGGATTCATCTGCAGCCTTTGATACTGTCGACCACGCTATTCTTCTGTCAAGACTTGAGCACCTTGTTGGGCTCAAAGGTACTGTGTTAAAATGGTTTTCATCCTTTTTGACCGACAGAACCTTTTCGGTTAGTATTGGTGACTGCGTTTCTAATATAGCTCCCCTCACTTCAGGTGTTCCGCAAGGTTCGACTCTGGCTCCACTACTTTTTTCATTATATATTGCACCCCTTTGCGACTATTATATCTAGTCATAATGTCTTATTTCACTTTTACGCGGACGATGTCCAAATCTATATGTCACTGCTCTTGTCTGACCCCAATGCTCTTAGCCCATTACATAACTGCTTGTGGGACATTAGGCAATGGCTTTCGCTAAATTTTTTGCAGTTAAATGAGAGTAAGACCGAATATATCATTTTTAGTCCTGACCCGTCGCCTGACGTTGTTAATTTCAGCACTTCGGTCTTCCCCCTGTCAGATACGGTAAAGAATCTCGGTATAATTTTTGATTGTGGTTTTACTTTTGAGAAACAGATTAGGGCAGTGGTTAAGTCGTGTTTTTTTCACCTAAGACTTTTATCCAAGGTGAAACCTTTTTTGTCACATGGTGATTTGGAGAAGGCGATTCATGCATTTGTTGTCTCGAGGTTGGATTACTGCAATGCTCTGTATATTGGAGTTCCTCAGTCTTTGCTCAACAAACTCCAGTTAGTCCAAAATGCAGCAGCTCGGCTGCTATCTAATGCTCCCAGGTTTGCTCATATTTCCCCTATTCTCTGTGCTCTTCACTGGCTCCCAATTCAAATCAGAATTAAATTCAAGATATTACTGTTTGTTTTTAAGGCTATTCATGGCCTTGCACCATCCTATTTGTCTGACCTGTTGGCCATTTATGTGCCGCAGAGAGCTCTCCGATCTGCGGATCATTTGTTACTAGTGGTCCCGCGATCTCGCTATAAAAAGTGGGCCGACTGTTCGTTTTCTGTCTGTGACCCTAGACTATGGAATGCCCTGCTGGTTGTTCTACGGGCGGAAAGCGATCTAGTGGCCTTTAAATCGGCCTTAAAGACCCACTTTTTTAAGCAGGCTTTTGAGCCCTCTAACTTGTCTTTTGTTTTATGTTTTTAGAAGTTGTTTTAGTATTGCTTTGTGTTCTGTGTTTTTGATTGTACAGCACTCTGGTGCTCTTGTGAGCTGTAGAGCGCTATATAAATAAAGTTTATTATTATTATTATTTGGCTGTTTATAATTTTCAGAAATAACTTAAGTGAAACTCAGCTGCAGAACAAGCTTTAGAACATATTTATTGATATCTACCAGTAATAAAGAGATAGTATTTCTATTTTCCAGGATAGCCAGGACTATCCAGATCTACCATAATTTGATATGACAGCCAACGAGGCAGTAACGTTACTTCATGAGATATGGAACCAAGAGTACAGAGTGTGAGTTTCCAGTGAATTTGGACAAATTGCATCTGATGTGTTATTAGGGATAAATTGTAATATCTGACTTAACGTTAGCTACTTCAGTCTACTGTCCTGTCTCTTCTTTCTTTTACTTGTCTGTCTTTCTCTCTCTCCCTTTTGCCTCAGCCACTTCTTGTATCTGTCGTTTCTAATTAAAAGCCCTATGCCGAGTCATGTAATTGGGAGATTGTGTTTCATAAAATTCTGAAGCAGCAACGGTAATAATTTTGCAGTGGTGGGCCGTTGCAGCAAAATGTATATAGGGAAAACACAGAAGTTCTGTTCTGATAGTTTTGTATGACTAAAATTTCCTGGTTCGACTCTGCAGACTTACTACCGTGTCAGTAACATGGACGGTCGACTGTCTAACCCTGATCAGTCTCTCACTGAGGACATCGTCATGTTTTCAGCCTCCATCGCCCACCTCTACTCCAACCTGACCAAACCCATCCTGGACGTGGTGGTCACCTGCTACACCCTGCTGCGCACCGCTCATTCTAAAGGTACCAATGCATTGTCGTGTCTGCTTTAAAAACACTAAATGTCAGTAAATGTGATCTTTGTGATCATCCTCTTGCAGGGGCAAACACCACATGGCCATCGGTCATTGCTGGCCTGGTGGTCGTGCTCACTGCCAAGGTTCTGCGCTCCTGCTCACCTCAATTTGGGAAGCTAGTAGCTGAGGAGGCGAAGAGGAAGGGAGATCTTAGATACATGCATTCTCGAATCATCACCAACTCTGAGGAGATTGCGTTTTATGGAGGACACAAGGTAAACCAGGTAGAGAGGGTATGAGACCGCCCTCTCGGTGGACACAAATGTAGCTGTGCAGGATCATTAGAGTTGGACCATTGTACACTTGATTTGCTTGATTTGTAGGTGGAGATGGCCCAGCTGCAGAGGAGCTACACATCTCTGTCCTCACAGATTCACCAGATCTTGCTGAAGCGGCTTTGGTACGTCATGTTGGAACAGTTCCTCATGAAGTACGTGTGGAGCGCCTCCGGCCTGGTGATGGTCGCTGTGCCCATCATCACCGCCACAGGATACTCTGAGTATGGTACATACACACCAAACATAATAGTAAATCATGAAATGATGTAGAGTGATGTCCACGGTTTGACCTTTGACCTCTGGTCTTCAGACTCGGAGGAGGTGAAGCAGGCAGCCATGGTGATGAAGGAGGAGGAGCTGGTGAGTGAGAGGACTCAGGCCTTCACCATAGCAAGAAACCTCCTCAACGCTGCAGCCGATGCTGTAGAGAGGATCATGAGCTCCTACAAGGAGGTAGACCTCCTCCTCCTACTCCTCTTTTGCTTCCAGTCACTCCTTCCTCTTGCTTTTACTTCTCCTCCTCTTTCTGTTTTCCTCTGTTGAAGGATGCAGATGATATGTTTCTTCCTCAGGAAAAACATGAGGCCTGCCTTTTTTCAAAAAGAGCTCCAGCACCTTGTCCTGTGCAGTGAGGAGCCGGTGGATCAGTGTAACCAGAGTAGAGACCAGTGGTTCTGTGCACAGCCTGAGGAGCTGTTTGTTAAAAACAGGTGGCCTCCCATGTTCCCTGAGGAAGTGCGGCGGTGTGGCTCACTGGGCGGAGGGGGGTTGTTAATAGCTGTACAGTGGAGGTCTACGGCACAGAGCGATGAGCTAAACCAGGGTCTGGACTCAGACAGAATCACCAGATGCAGCCTTTAAAGTCGGCACTCGTGTCAAAGTTGTGCTGACGGTGCTGTGTAATAAATACAGAGGAGTTTGTCAGATAGCAGACTGTCCTACAGAACTCACATGCAACTCAGACAAAACCAAAGATGTCTGCTGTTCTCAGCAATCTAATGGCAAACACATGCTGACCTCAGTGAATGAATAAACCCAAAGTATCTATGTGTTTGTGTGTCTCCAGGTGACAGAGTTGGCAGGTTACACAGCGCGGGTGTCTGAGATGTTGGACGTCTTTGAAGATGTGAATCAGGGTATCTACCGCCGCTCTGCAGACAGAGACGAGGAGCTGGCGGCAGCAGCAGCAGCAGGAGGAGGAGAAGGAGGAGCTGCGGTTCAACATGGTCAGAGAGTCTGTGGTCGACTGGAGATCAGAGGTGTGTCCACAGATGTACAGGTGTGCCGGTTTTATGTGAGTGTTGAATGAAGTGCAGCATGTAGAGCCAGCGGTTCCTTCTCTCCTCAGTTTGTATTTATTATGATGTAATAAAACTACAAAACCAAACCAACCTAGAACCAGAACATCTGCAGACTTTGCAGCCTGGACAGAATTGATCAGAAAACACTCATCAAGCCTTCATCCTTGATTTCTTTTATCTTTTTCCTCTGCCCTCCACACCTTCTTTCCTTTCTTTCATGCTTCTTAATTTCATTTTTTTATATTCATTTCTCCTTTCTTTCCTTCTTTTCTTCCATCCTTTCTTTTTTGTTTTCTTTCTTTCAAGTATTTTCCAATTGTTTGTATTTGGCGGTTCCTTGTTTTCTTTAACTTTTCAACCTTTTTTCTGCTTTTGCATTTTTTTGTAATTTTCTTTGAGTTAACCTTGTTTTTTGTTTGGCTCCACTTGTACATCTTTAAATGCACTACAGTTCAACACTCAGCAACTTTTTCAGCAATCGCTGTCTTTTCTGCAGCATGTCATCTCTCCCAAAGTAATTTCTCCAGAACTTACCTTTTCTAGTTTATCTTGTGTTTCCCTGTGTATATATTTACCCTTTTTGGATCTTGTTTGGATTTTGGACTTTGCCTGCTGAGAATCAGGACAGTGTGGTCTGATCCAACGCCTCGAGACATTCAGCTGCGGCAGCTTTGATCCTTCTCACTGGGGATCTGTTGTCTCTGTAGGTCAGGTGATCAGTGTGGAGAAGGGGATTCGTTGTGAGAACCTGCCCATCATCACACCGACCGGAGATGTGGTGGTGTCCAGCCTCAACATGCAGGTAACACACTCAGGTGTTTCATTTGCTTGACTCGGCCTGTTACCTGTTGGTGTTATTGAACGATCACATTCGCCAGAGCAGTTTGCTGCTCCAGCGTTGCTTTAGTTTGAAGAACAGCACTCTGTATTTTCCAATTGCTTATATAATGGCAGATAACTGTCGCATAAGATTTGGCTGTAAGCGTTGTCCGTGTCTGCAGTCTCTGCATGTTTCTGCTGTTTGTATTTGGCGCTGTAGTAAAATGATATACTGACCTCGCTGTCGCGTCATTTCCAGGCGCCTGTGAAAACAAGGGAAAACAGTGGCTCTTTGTTTTTACAGGCAAAATCATAGTCACATGAAATATTCAATTTTTTTTAAATTTAAGGATTTTTATTGAATATTGGTCATTGCCCATCCCTAGTTGTCTGTCTGCCATATGTGTTGTGTGTCAGTGGCCACATGGTGTCAGCGTTGCAGCCTGGATGTTGTATTAACAGGCGGCTGTTTGTGATTGCTGCTCACATCTGTGATGTCACTGTGCTGTGGAACATGCTCATCACATCTTCCCACCTCTTTTATCTTTTTTTATTATCTTCTCAATTCTTCTTCTCTCATTCTGTCACCAGTGTTTCCATCAGTGCCTGAGGTCAGAGGTCACAGCAGAGCCTGCAGCTCATTAGCATTTACTGTGTGTGTGGCTGTCTTTATGCTTTTGTAGACAGTAGAGGGATTATAGAGTGAAATTCTTGCCGTGTAGACTCAGAAAAAAAACGGAAACGGAGTTGGAAACAAGACAGAAGAAGAAGAACATTCTCTTCTCTTTGCTGTCTGCTTCTTGACCTTTGACCTCTCGGTTCTGACAGCTTCTCTGTCAGAGTGTCGTGAGGAGGATTTCAGAGCTGGTCAGAGTCTGAGGACCATTTACATTCAGAGATCATGTGTATCAATGTCAGGACCTCTCAGCCTGTGGCCTGGATGGATTCCTGAGTAGGACTAGGCCCAGGGGGTCAGGGCATCGGCCGGCCTAGGAGGTCAGGAGGCCTCTAGACCAGATAACTGTGAAGGGACTATTAATGTTTCTGCTGGAAAGTCAAGTTAAATTACTACAAAATAAAGTCACAAAGTGACAAAGCGAGACAAAAAACAAATAGATGTTCTGTAAGTAGGTGCACGGTTTCTGAAAAAAGTGTCTTGTCTTTCCTTGTGTTTAGTAATAGCATCTCAGGACTGTGTGTCTGTGTTCTCAGGTGGATGAGGGCATGAACGTGTTGATCACAGGTCCAAACGGCTGTGGAAAGAGTTCACTGTTCCGCATCCTCAGTGGACTGTGGCCAGTCTATGGAGGAGTCCTATACCGTCCGGAACCACAGCACATGTTTTACATCCCTCAGAGGTACTAGTACTACTACCATACACTCTAGAACAGCTATCACTATCAACATGATTTATGTAGTAGTGATGTAGTAGTCATGTGTGCTTTACAGGCCCTACATGTCAGAGGGGACTCTCAGAGACCAGGTGATCTATCCAGACTCAGCAGAGGAGATGGTTCAGAGGGGGGTCACAGATTCGGATCTGGAGGAGATCCTTCGGACCGTCCACCTGGTCTACATCCTGGACCGAGAGGGAGGTCAGTATCAGGTGTGTGCTCAGGACTCATGAGTTTGTCAGGATGAAGGTGATCCTCAGGTGACCAGTCTGATCCAGTGAGAACCAGACTCTCTAAACTGGATTGAACCACATCATCTTGTATATAAACCAGAGGAGCTGCTTTTTCAAATGAGGTGGTGGTTTAGACCCTGACGTACAGAAGTATTTCCATCAGTAGTTTTTTCCAACAGCAGTATTTCAGGACAAGTTGATGAGTATATTTTTAGTCTGATAATTTGGGCTTTGCTGCGCCTTGTACTTCATAATGTTATGACCATGTTTAAGTACTGCATTGTCAAAGTACTTTATTCAGTGAGAGTTTCAGCTACTGCACAGTACAGCACATGTCTGCAGGCTGGGAGTCTGCCAGCGACTGGAAGGATGTTTTGTCTGGAGGAGAGAAACAGAGGATGGGGATGGCTCGCATGTTCTACCACCGGTAAATGTTTGCTGTTTACTGTTACTGTTTACTGACTGGTTACTGTTATTTCGTGAGTGTTAACTGACCCCCATGTGTTGTCTGTGTCTCTCTCAGCCCTCGTTATGCCCTTTTGGACGAGTGTACGAGCGCCGTTAGCATTGACGTGGAGGGAAGCATCTTCCAGGCTGCAAAGGATGCTGGGATAGCTCTGCTGTCGATCACACACAGGCCGTCCTTGTGGTTAGTGCTCACACACGCGCGCATACAGTTACCAGTATGACCATTGGCCCACCGAGGCCACAGAGACCCCGGTGGGCTAGAGACCTGAACCCTGAAACCAGCGATGATCAGGTGTTTAGGTGCTGCTCATCTGGTGGTGAAAGCAGGAGAAACATGTATTCACACAAGGAACACATCAGTGTAGAAACATCGTACAGAAAACTACAGTCAGAGCCTGACGCACCGAGACAGTTGTGCCTCCATCCTGCAGGGGCAGCAAAGCACCACGCCCTCATCCTCACCTGTCCTCTTTTTCTTCTTCTCAAACAGGAAGTACCACTCCCACCTGCTGCAGTTTGATGGAGAGGGTGGATGGAGGTTTGAGCCACTGGATGCCTCTACTCGTCTCTCTCTGCAGGTCTGTACATTCACGTGTTTAACTGTTCATGCTTTTAAAATAACCAAATCTGTCCAAGAGACCTTGTGACTGCTGCCTCTACAGATGCTATGGTAACCATGGTAACAACAAAACACCTCCACCTCAGGTGGTGTATGTGTGTGACAGAGAGAGAGGTCAAAGTATCAAAACCATGGGCTGTATATAAAGATGGACGCCATGACAGTTCACAGATCTGAAGCCACTGGGTCATCACCCCTGGTGGCTGGTTGCAGTATAGGTTTTAGATTTTAAGATGGCAGCCGCTGTATTCACGATATTTTAACGTTTGCATAGTGGAGGGAAGTGGTGATGTGTCCTCCATCTTTTATATACTACAGGTGGGAACTAGGGCTGCAACAGAATGAGATTTTCACAGTATGATAACCAGCTCAGAAAATATCATGCATGGTTTGACGGTGTAACACAGTTACTGTTGTTATAATCGGCTACAACAACCCTCTAAGGAACAAGAACTGAAGGTTTGTTTTTTCTTTAATTGCAAGTGACTGTGACAGTTGATCGAGTAGGAACAGGAAGTGTATCTGCAGAGAGAGCTTCACCCCGAAGAATAAACACTGCATGTAACTATTTAAGTGAAGCCTGTTATAGTTTATATGTTAGCAGCAGTAGTACAGGAAGTATTCTACTTCAGAGACATTTTAATACTTATATTTACATATAATACTCTTCTACAAACAACTGTTTTTCCTCAAGAAAGGTTCAGTAAACCTTTGTGAAGGCCCTCAACATTTGCCCCTCATTGTGCATTCCAGGAATCATGAATATTCAAATATACACAAATGTGCCCACACTGGTCTCTGTTGTCTCTGGTCTCACTGGTCTTTGTTGTCTCTGGTCTTAGGAGGAGAAGCAGCGCCTGGAGACCCAGCTGTCTGGGATCCCTAGAATGCAGCAGAGACTGTTACAGTTGTGTGTCCTGCTGGGGGAGAGAGAGGAGGAAGACTGAAGATGATGAAGAGGAATTCACTCTGCTGTTTGCTAGTCAACAGGTCATGTGACTGAACCTGATGTTACCTCCCTGTGCCAGTGATGCATCAGTCCAACATCTGGTCTTTACGTCAAGATGTCTTTTTACCAGTTGCTGTCCCGTTGCAGTAAACTGGTGAACCTCCAGAACATAAATTATATAAAAATTGGGGTGCCCTGATGTGAAGCCGATCGTAACTAATTGATGATACTGATCTAGAGAGCACAATAGATTGATACATTTTCTAATACAAAGTAAATAATGATTTTCTGATCGCTCGTGTAAGGATCTGAGTGGTTTGATGTTCTGTCAGCCATGTTGGTCGGTCTCAATTTACCCAGAATTCATAGGTAGTGAAGAGGCTCGTTCGAGATGAATTTCTCCTCTGCTGCAGCAGGCGGAGATCGCGAAAATCTGCAGTGAAGACGGCCAGTTTAGGAGCTTTCCAGCAGCCTTCAGTCTGCACAGGACACAGAAACCTGCACCCTGTTAGGTCTCAACCTGACTTAAGAAAAGACATGTGAAGTGCAACTCAGTCACATGACTCAGAGCTCACATGCTCAGGTCATGTGACTAAGTGCATCTGATTTTTAAATTGTGCCATTTGAATCTTTTATTGTTTGTACAATCTGATGTTTTTACTGGAGCTGATAGAAAATACAGTATTGTTCAAAACAATAGCAGTACAATGTGACTAACCAGAATAATCCAGGTTTTTAGTATATTTTTTATTGCTACATGGCAAACAAGTTACCAGTAGGTGCAGTAGATTCTCAGAAAGCAAACAAGACCCAGCATTCATGATATGCACGCTCTTAAGGCTGTGCAATTGGGCAATTAGTTGAAAGGGGTGTGTTCAAAAAAAATAGCAGTGTCTGCTGTTGACTGTACAAACACAAAACTATGTTGTACAAACAATGCCTTAAAATGGAGAGCAAAACCAGAGAGACGTGGAAGAAAACGGAAGACAACCATCAAAATGGATCGAAGAATAACCAGAATGGCAAAGGCCCAGCCAATGATCAGCTCCAGGATGATCAAAGACAGTCTGGAGTTACCTGTAAGTACTGTGACAGTTAGAAGACGTCTGTGTGAAGCTAATCTATTTTCAAGAATCCCCCGCAAAGTCCCTCTGTTAAAAAAAAGGCACGTGCAGAAGAGGTTACAATTTGCCAAAGAACACGTCAACTGGCCTAAAGAGAAATGGAGGAACATTTTGTGGACTGATGAGAGTAAAATTGTTCTTTTTGGGTCCAAGGGCTACAGACAGTTTGTGAGACGACCCCCAAACTCTGAATTCAAGCCACAGTACACAGTGAAGACAGTGAAGCATGGTGGTGCAAGCATCATGATATGGGCATGTTTCTCCTACTATGGTGTTGGGCCTATTTATCGCATACCAGGGATCATGGATCAGTTTGCATATGTCAAAATACTTGAAGAGGTCATGTTGCCTTATGCTGAAGAGGACATGCCCTTGAAATGGTTGTTTCAACAAGACAATGACCCCAAACACACTAGTAAACGAGCAAAGTCTTGGTTCCAAACCAACAAAATTAATGTTATGGAGTGGCCAGCCCAATCCCCGGACCTTAATCCAATCGAGAACTTGTGGGGTGATATCAAAAATGCTGTTTCTGAAGCAAAACCAAGAAATGTAAATGAATTGTGGAATGTTGTTAAAGAATCATGGAGTGTAATAACAGCTGAAAGGTGCCACAAGTTGGTTGACTCCATGCCACACAGATGTGAAGCAGTTATAACAAACTGTGGTCATACAACTAAATATTAGTTTAGTGATTCACAGGATTGCTAAATCCTAGAAACAAAAACGTTTGTACAACATAGTTTTGTGTTTGTACAGTCAACGGCAGACACTGCTATTTTTTTGAACACACCCCTTTCAACTAATTGCCCAATTTCACAGCCTTAAGAGCGTGCATATCATGAATGCTGGGTCTTGTTTGCTTTCTGAGAATCTACTGCACCTACTGGTAACTTGTTTGCCATGTAGCAATAAAAAATATACTAAAAACCTGGATTATTCTGGTTAGTCACATTGTACTGCTATTATTTTGAACAATACTGTAGTTGTAATAATCAATCGATCAATAATGTGCTGCTGAAGGGTTTGTTTATTAGAGGGACAAGGTGCAGTGATAAAGATGACATACTGCATGATGATGATGCTGTTTGATGTCAGATGATGAAGATGCTGAAATTAAAAATTAATACACTGTTTTTGTACTTTTCAAAGTGAAGTTCCTCACAAGTGAAGAAACATTTTGACCATAAGAATAAAAAGAGACAAGCACTTTCATGTACATCTTTGTATTTATCACAGATATGTTCATTTTAACATCTAAATCAGTGGAGGCTTCCTGAGATTTAGGAGGTTAGGGTCATGTTCTAGTTTCCTTTTGTAGTTTTATTATGTGAGCTGGATTAAAGCTATTGATCAGTTCAGTGAGAGGACACTGAGATACCTGACAGGTAGTTTGCATTGTCTCTACTGAATTTAGCCCGGTTTATTTAAAAACCAAAGAAACTCTAGAGTGACGTTTGGAAAAACACATTTATAGTTAGTGTTTTTTAAAAAAGGCCAGAGGAGGTTCAGGGTCTCGGTCCGGACCGGAGGACTGCATCAGATTCGAGGCTCAAGAGTTTTTGTTGTTTCCTTAAATTTGTTATTTCTGAATTGGCTCAGTCTGATGTTTGCATTTTGTGCCTGCGTTTTAGTTTTTTATTGGTGCTGTAGCAGCAGCCTGGCAGGCTGCTACTTTCTCCTCCTCGCTGGTCCCCTCGAGGTCCATCTGCCACATCCAGTGCTTCAGCCTGCGGGAGCACAGCATGTGTTCAACTCACTCTGCCTCAGCCAGCTTTGCAGTCAGTGTGGATGGTGCATAGAAACAGATGTGGTCTTGGAGCTGCTCCGGCTAGAGCCCTCAGACGAAAGACTGAATGGCAAGCTCTTCCAGCACGGGCGGTGTCGAGTGTCAGGTACCCACGTCGTGCATAAAGGTGAAGGTTGCTGGTGCAGGCACCCAGGGTCTTTGTTTCCTTGCACTGGCGGTTGCCCAGCTTGTCCCAGGTATTGATGATGGGGACCCATCACCAAAACCAATGCTACAACACCCTCTCCTTGGCTGGCCAGTGAAGCAGTTTCCCAAGCCAGAGATCACTGAGGGTCTGCAAAACACTGGACCTCTGCGGACACACACCCATGCTCACACCTATTCCTCATAATGCTCCTCATAATGTTACTACACTCTTTTGCTGCTAACATGCTGCTGACTTGATTAGGTCCCGTACACCCCTTTTTATTTTTGTTCATATTTTTATATTGACTTGTACAATTGAGTGTTATGTAAATAATGTATCTGTCTTTAAGCCAAGAGCTGCCGGACAAAATTTCGTTGTGATATGCATAATGACATTAAAGATTCTTGACTTGAAAAAAATGGGTGAATATAGTTCATTCTACAGCAGGTGGAGTCTGGGTGATATGTAGTATTTTCCTTCTTACAGACATAAAGCTTTATGTCATCCAACTTCTAAATTTAATAGGTAAGTAGGTACTTTATTGATCCCACAGTGGGGAAATTTCTGTGTTATAACACCATAAGAACAGGACTTCATAGAAACACGGAAAAGAACACAATGAGGACACAGCTGCTGTAACTTGCTGCCACTCCGCGCGACGCCTGAAGTAAGTAGTAACAAAGAACACTTAGTCTTAAAATAAAAAGTTACATAAAGGCAACAAAGCATTAGGACCGATACACACAAGGATTATAAAAGTAGCGTCATCAGAATGTTACATTTTACACAGCACAAATAAGCAAATCAATGGCACCTAAAAACAGGGCAGAGCAGCACTGGAGAGAATCAGGAACAGCAGTAGAGACTAAACAAGCAGGAAATCAAGAACAATCGAATCTTACTCTCACAATTAATTCCACAGTGGGGGAAAGAAACCTGTGTTTCAGCCATAAGGATCTCTGAGCCACTACTCAAAAATACCTAAAGCAGGGCAATGAACAGTATTTGAGAGAGATCAGGAACAAGATATTACACATGAGCTATTTACAATGCATTTCACCCCCAGGAGCTGAATATTGAACCACAGTAGATTATTACATAGTCCCTCATAATTTCACCTGGCCTATCACTGCAGCAATGTGTTGTACAGTCTGATTGCTGTGGGGAGGAACGACCTATTGATATATGAGCCTATTTTGGGTGACTGGTATCTCTTTATTATTAATAATTAGCTTTTTTTATTTAAGTGTTTTATTTAATATCGCCTATGTAATATTAAAGCTGCATTAACTAAATGCTCCCTCTGATTTTCAACTGTTAAAGGTGAAGTGAGAGTCAAATCAAACCTAAAAAAGAGGTTTACATTTTAGTGATATGCATATATACAGTATGTCTAACGTTGTTTGTAGTGGATGTGTCTGCAGTAACACAAGCAAATTATACAGAGGAATGTTTTTCCCAGTGATACTGATACAGTACTAATGTTCTGGCCATTATCACATAACCGTGAGTTATATGAAAAATCTCATGTTGTGCTTTGATAGTTGGGGGGGGGAGGGGTTAGAACAGCAGGGAGAAAACCCTTCTAGACAATTTTGTACTTGATTTCTCCCAATTTGTGCTAAAACTCAGTTAATGCAGCTGTAATGTAAATGTGAATGATAATGAATTAATTCATGAAAAAAAAACCTTTTTCAATGAAAAGAAACCGATATGGCTCCATTTCCATGTCGGCCAATGGTCAAAGTGACAGGGCAATTTGTTGAACCTGGCAATTTGCTAAAGTTAAATGTTGAACATTGGATTAATAAATGATTACAAGAACAGTCTTTATTTATTAAATATAGCCTATATAATTAACGTGATTATCATGTCAACTTTAAGGATTTTGGTGTCTACAAACATAGTCTGACAGCACTTCCACCATTTTTGTGGAATGACCCATATAGGCTATATGTGTGTATCTGTCTACATATATGATCTAAACAAGGGCACACCATTATAAAGGAAGAAAAATACGTACTGTATATAGGACTTCATAGTGTATCACTGACTTTGTTGACGACACCTTTGCAGCTGCATTAAAAGTCATCACACTTCTAACAACAATATGAACAATGGTCTTCATATACACAGTCAGTAACAATGACTATCACATTTTACAGATGAACTTTTAAAAAATGCATTGGTTTTGGGTCAGTGACCACTGACAGAACAGATAAGGCCCCAGGATTAATCAAGCCTGGCTGGTAGCCTGGTCTGGAGCAGGCTGGCTGCAAAGATTAAATCTCCATGGTAACTTACTGTATGTGCCGCTGCTTTTGTGAAACCGAATCACAGCTGAATTCATCCAGGATAAGTGGATAATCCTGGCTTAATCCGCTATCTGTGTTTTGTTAAACAGTCCTCCGGGCCCTGTACCGCAAATCCAGATTAGCGGCCTGTCATGCTAACTTTGGCCCAGCTCAGGTTTTCTGGTACCATGAAGCTGGCTCCCTTTTAATCAGGCTAGATTTCTGCAGTAACTTATGTGGCACAGCTAGCCAGCTGTGGAGCAGGTTCCCTTCAGAGTATTGGATCCAAACCTGTGAACAGCCTGATTACTGTCCAATCATGTCACTGGAAAAACTGGAGGATTGTTCCTACTGGGTCAGCGGAGTCAGAGTCTACACTGATGTGATCAATAATAAACAGATATTTCTACAGAGCAGTCATATGGTTGTACTGTTTCAGCCTTTCATGGGTCTAGTTTCTAACAGACTGAGGGTGTCTACAGCCTCTGTGACTATCAACGCTGGGTTTTAAATGCTCAAAGATGATTTAATTCCCTACCAAATTTCTGACTATATCAATGTTTTGACAGGCTCCATCACTGCAGCTCAGAATAACATGAGGACACATTGTGATGATGGTCTTAGAAAAATAATCCAGACACTGTTAAATATGTCCCATGATTATAAATTAACATCTGACTTTAGGTGTAAATCTCCTCTGCTCTCCTCTCCACTCTGGCATCGCAAAGTGTTGAATTTTTTACTAATACATGTTCACAACAGTTTCTTCATCAGTGGGACAAAGAAGAAAAAATACTGGTATCCAGGGCGACCAGTGTGATAGCCCCAAGAGAGCCAGACTAAGCTGGACTCACTTCATGGTACAGGGGCCTATTTCAAGAAGGCGGTTTTGTTGAAGCTCAGAGTTTGTTAACCCCGAAATGAGGGCAACTCGGAGTTTTCGGTTTCAGAAACGGAGGTAACTTAAACCCGTGAAGCGGGGTAAGTTAAACTCGTTTCACAAAGAGAGGTAATCTAAACTCAGAGTCAGTTACTATGGCAACTTACTCTGTGAACCTAACCTGCTGGGGAGCAGGTTTTGTTCGGGAAACTCAGAGTTTCCTCCGGGTCTCCGCCCCTTTTTAAAGTGAAAGGTGTTTAATACCTCATTTAATCTTTCAGTACATTCATAGATTGC